AATATTAAGCAGTCTTGCAATTTTTTAACGTTGTGGCGTGGCACGTGTATTTTTTATAAAATTGCAACTAATTTGTCCCATCCCCGATGTTCGAATGCGAACTCATCTCGACCTTTCACCCCGGTGCAAAGCTAGCACTGCAGAGGGCGGTTGAGAGGCACTCTTTTTTTTAAATTGAAAATATTTTTCAATCAAATTTGCAACGTTGCCAATAAAACACGAATTATTTTTTTAAAATCAAAATCGAAGAGACGCTGAATCTGTTACAACATGTGAGACAAAATAAAATGACAATAAGACCAGATAGAATGAAGAAAATAAATAAACAGAGTAAAAAAAGAGTTTCCTTTAAACAAATGACGCATTGTAATTTCAATTTTTTTTCTACACCAATCAGTCGTTGTTTCCATGACGAACTGTTGTTTTTGAAAAATCATATAAAAAAACAAAGTGGAACGTGGAAACGCGCTTCTTCAAATGTGTTTTCGTAATTTATACTCCCCAACTTGATTGAAGTTTTAAATATAAATGAAATAAAATAAAATTGTCAAAAGTATTAATTCAGGTTGTAAAGTTAAAAGTGTTTGTATAAATCATAGAAATCCTATTTTTCAAATCATTATAAGAAAAAAATGAGACAACCAAATTGACGCTTTACGTCTTTTAAAAACTCAATAAAAGTAAATTTTTCAGTAGAGTTGAGTGTAAACAAAACAAGAGAAATGAATATTGTATCAGAACTACCGCCAATTTTCTTGATATAAAAATAAAAATCTTTAAATTTTTGTGTTCCATTTTAATGTGACACAATTCATTAAATCGCACCAACGTAGTTAGTAAGTTGTAACAAAATTTGAAACGTGAATTAAAATCGGCGACGGGGAAATAAATTAAATATTTTATAGAGTTCCGATCAAATGAAAATGTTAATAACTGTCTACTTTTTGAAAGGCGCCTTATGTAATTGATAGAGATAAACCATTTTTACAACTAAATCGATCGGGTAGGATTCGAAAAAAGTCAGCTTGGTTAGGAAAATGAAGATGAAGTGGCGAATCTAGGTTGACGAAAGGCCAAAAATTTTAACTTTTTTTAAACTTTTTTTAAATTTGACGGGGAGGAGGTAAAATATTGACTAAATATTACGCCTATTTTCGGGAAACTTTGTACTCAATAAAGGTGCTCTCCTGTTCAAATATTGAATAACTTTTATTGAAAACACTGCTCACAAAAGGAGACGGGGGACAATGGTTCCATCCGGCACATCCAAGCCTGCCAGTTTAAGTTTCGTTTTTCTTTTCCATGTTAAATACAACCATCCATAACTGGATAGATTTTACGTAATGTATTTCAAATCCACGATACACTTCATAACTCACTTGAAGGTATTTAAAATTTTAGATTTAAAATTATTTAGAACGGGTAACCAAGAAAAAAATGCTGACGTTTAGAACGATCCTCTAGCAAATAATCGGAAGATATAAATGGAAACAAGTTGTTTGATGAATTGGGAGCACCAGAGATATGTTTCTGATTTTTTTGAAAATAACTCATATTTTTTTCTTTTCAAACCTTTCTAGTGAACCAAAATTTTCAAAAGTTCTTCAAAAAAAGATTATAAATTGCATCTGCAATCCACATTTAGCCAATGATGGAGCAATTAATTTTTCACGACAACGACAATAATAAATAATAAATGCTGGTGTGCAAAATCAAAAAGAGAAACAAAATTAGAAAAATTGCTTGAGGTGGTGGTATGTTGTTTGTACCAGGGCAGGATTGACTTTCTTTCAGTGAAATTTTTATTTTCAGATTTCAAATGATGAATTAATATCTGATGTGGATCTGTGTTTATGCTTTTGCATGTATGAATGTGTGTGTGTGTGCGTGTGTGTGTGTGTGCGTGTGTGTGTGTGTAACATAGCAAGCTATGCCTTAATGTGAGTGTATTTGAGTGTGATGATGTGTAAATGGTTAAATTATAAAAAATATCGAGCTGAGTTAATTTCAATTATTCACGAATATAATAAATAAGTCAATAGATTCAATAATAAATCATTAATTAAATAAATAACAACAATCGCAAAATGATATTGTAAATATTAACAGTGTAACTTTAACATTGCTGCATTCTCAGGAAAGAGCATAAATGTGAAGTTAGTGTTACAAAAAAGAAAAAAACAAAGATCAACTGTTTACGATGCATGCATGTAACGTAGCAAATTGAATGATCAATTACGAAGCAGTTGGACGGGCAGCAGCAGATAGCGAGTGAGATAAAACTATCGACATACTCCATTCAAGTCTTCATAGAAATATTTTTTGTCTTCTGCTTTCTTACCGCCAATTTGTTTTTCATTTGCAGGCTGGTCACAAACAAACACCCACCCACACACACACACACCCACTCACTCACACACGAACAAACAAAAAAACAAAGACAAACACATAAATTATTTAAGAAACAAATATAAACGAAAATATAATTGCATGTTTGACCATTCGAAAAAAACGCGATATGGGAGGCTCGATGGTGTAATAAATAAAGTGCCTGGCACTGCTGCTGCCATAACCTGGTTCGAAAGCAGAGAGATTCCCGCTTGTTTGTTACATGTGACGAGTGCAATACATTGATTCACGTGTAACTGCATCATACACCGTGTTTGCTGATGATACCTCCGAAACATGCTTGCGAGGCAATTGGACCGAAAATGAACGTTAGATCTATAATAATGTTATAACCGTGCTACCGTACGCACTAGAACATTCTAGAATATGCTAGAATCGGACCATCTAGAAGAATCTAGAAACGACGCTTGCGAAGAGTATATAAGCGCACGTCGCAAGAAGATTAGCGATTAGTGAAATTCGTGATTAGTGAAATTCGTGATTTTGTGATTTCGTGAATAGCAATTCGGTGAATTATTTAAAGCGATATTTGATTTGTTTGTTGACGTTGTCACAGCAATAGATTTTAAACAATTTAAAAGTTAATTGTTGCGTTAATTTGAATTTGCTAGAAATAAACGATTAGTTGATTTCTTCTGTAAATAAAGTTTAATAACTAATAACTGTTTGGAATATTTTATTCAATCGAAGATTTGAACCCGTCGCATCGTAAATCGGTTACGACAGCGAGTATTATAACATTAGTGTCAGAAGTGGGATCTTCGACTAGCGAATTACTACTCATAGAAAAAGAACACGATGCCAAAACTGTGTGGTTTGAACGTAGTTTAGCTACGAGAAGAACTACAGAAACGAAGCCTTGTCACAAGTGGCAACAAAGAAGTACTAGTAGCACGTCTGAGAGAAGCTCTCATTGACGAAGGTAAGAACCCAGACGAATTCAAGTTTGATGGTGCTAACGAAGACAATGAAATTAGCACAGGCACGTTTACAACCGCTAAAATGATGGAATTTCTGCTTAGTATGTCAACTGAAATAAAACAACAGATCAAAGAACAGTCCGAACGACAGTCCGAACGACAGACTGAAGAGTTAAAACAACAGATCAAGAAACAGTCCGAACGACAGACAGAGGAGTTAAAACAGATCAAGGACCAGCTAAAACACGTAAAATTGGAAGTGGCAGAACAGATTGAAGAACAGTCAACAAGAATAGAAATGATAGAGCAGAAACTTGATCGTCAGACCGTTGAGGTAGATCACAAGATAGACAAATTGAAGCGAGAATTGGAGCAATCCAAAAAAATGGCCATGCCGTTAGATCACGCATCCGGAAGAACTTTGAAGGTACCAGCATTTGACAGAGAGATGTCCTGGAACGTTTATAAAACCCAGTTCGAAGCAGCGGCAACTAGTAACTGTTGGAACGGAAAAGAACGAGCAACAGCACCGATACTGGCCCTGCGAGGTTCAGCAGCAGAGATTCTTCAGACGATTCCGGCGGAGAACCACTTCAACTATGAAGTTCTGGTTAGCGCGTTGGATTTACGTTATGGTAAAGAACACAGGAAACAGATTTATCGGTATCAGCTTAGAAACAGAACGCAACGATCTGGTGAATCCATTCAGCAGCTGGCACAAGATATCGAACGGTTGACATTGCTGTCGTATCCGACATCAGACCCCGAGCATAGAGACAAAACTGCCCTGGATACGTTTATCAAAGCCCTTCGTGATTCGGAACTCAAGCAATCCCTTCTCTTGTCAGATAAACAAAAACTCAAAGATGCCGTTGCGCACAGTCTCACTTTTGAATCGGCAAAGCAAGCATCAAAAAGTGACGTACGTCTACACCAAGTACATGAAGAATGCCCTTGCCAGAAGGTGGTTGTGAAACGCGAACCTTAACAGCATGGTGTACCCCAATGCTGGATTTGTGGTGGAAAAAGGCCATCTACATCGTGATTGTAAACACCGCCTAAAAGATAACTACTGCCGAAATTGCGCGACAAGATGGCGCAAAAGAAGAGAAGATGATCCTGATCGGCCCCTTCTAACGAAGGAGCGGAAAAACTAATAAGAGCCAACTTTGTGGGGCAGAGGTTGGCTAGTAGAATTGACGCCCCCAGTACCGTAATTAACGTTTCCAGACTACATCGAAATCGAAACGACCTATGGCTGAACGGAAAAGTTGATCAACGAGAATGTGTAATTACAGTCGACACCGGAGCAACAAAAATGATTTTAAGATCTGATTCGGTACCCAATCTAAAGAAAGAGACTTCTAACAAATACATCCTTCAAACAGCTACCGGAGGAACAGCACCAGTCTATGGAAGGATTCTCCGTACTGTTCAGCTAGGCGACTTGTTATTCGAAGGTTCATTCTTAGTTGCGGATATCATCGACGAATGCATAATAGGTGTCGACTTTCTGACAAAATATGGGTTCAAAATTGACTTAGAAAAACGCATTCTTAGATGGAGAAATACAGAAGTGATAATGGGGGATAGCGACGAAAAATGCATTCGAGTGACAGTCGATTGTGACATAGAACTACCTCAATCATCTGAAAACATCGTATGGAGCAAGTTGAATTGCGATCCTGGGGGCCACCAGTTCTATTTGATGGAGCCAACCTCAACGACAAATGTACAGAACGCGGTCATTGGAAAATGCCTGGTAGAAGCGAACGAAAATGGTCTTATTCCTCTCAGAATAATGAATACCGCTAAACCCACTATTAAAATTAAAAAAGGCGAGGAAATAGGTAATTGCCAATCAATAAATTTGGTAAAATCATTAGATATGGAGCAACAGGAAAAGGTTCTACCAACTGACAAAGGTAGAATCAAAGAACTTACCAAAAATCCACTGGATGAACTCAATTTGTATCAAGAAGACCGTCTAAAAGCCGAGGCGTTGATTGCTGATTTTGCAGACGTGTTTTCAACCTGTGAAAATGACCAAGGTAAAACAGCTCTGGTAACTCACCGAATTGATACTCAGGATTCGAAACCGATCCGACAAGTACCACGACGTCTTCCTCTAGCAAAACAAACAGAAGTAAACGAAATGATAACGACAATGCAGAATCAAGGCGTCATCGAACCGTCATCAAGTCCCTGGATTTCGCCAGTTGTTTTGGTAAAGAAGAAAGGATGTTTTCCAAAGCTCCAGCGAGGGTGGGAAGGACCTTATCAAGTCATCACCCGCTTGAATGACGTCGTCTACCGTATTCAGGAATATCGGAAGCCGAGAGCAAGAATGATGATCGTTCATTTGGATAGACTGGCTCCGTACCATGCGGACACCGGAACGAAAGCTGTTCGGGACGAACAGAACTAAGAAGGGGGTAATGTTATAACCGTGCTTCCGAACGCACTAGAACATTCTAGAATATGCTAGAATCGGACCATCTAAACGATTAGTTGATTTCTTCTGTAAATAAAGTTTAATAACTAATAACTGTTTGGAGTATTTTATTCAATCGAAGATTTGAACCCGTCGCATCGTAAAACGGTTACGACAGCGAGTATTATAACAATAACCTAGAGTGATTAATACAGATTTTTCATACTTTGATAAAATTGAAAAAATTTTTAAAATTTTCGTCACAGCTTTAAAAATCGAGCGCCATCTCGTTCATCATCTTCGACAGACTGAAAAATAAAAGTTTATTAATAGATTCCTTTTGGAATATTTACCATTTTGCTCACTTACTTGATCGATGGAAGCTAAGCAGCCCAGCAGGTACGAGGTACATACATGTAGCATCAGTTTACAGTAAACACGAAGGTTATTGCGTATATATGTACATCGTTTACTTTGCAAGTACACGTGATCGCTCGAATACGTTTGTGTACAAAATCATGAATCCGCTCAAAAATTCAATTCTAGCACTCTTTAAATATTTGATGAATTCTATATTAACCATGTATATGTGAACATACATAGTGCTTCTGCTTATTATATGTGTGAACAACACGTGCGTGAACTTATTTTATATGCATGCACTGTGCAGTTATATAAGTATGTACAACCACTGTGCAGTTATATAAGTATGTACAACATTCTCTGCACGCACAACACGTACAAATGTACACGCACGCACACGCACATACATAATTATATATTTCATAATAATATGCTTACATGTATATATTTTACATGTTTATATAATATACATATAACTTACATGTTTATATAATATACACATAAATATTATGTTTTTTTACAATTATTTACAAGTTAGTGAAGTTGATAATCTATTGGAAGAGCATCTTCACGCATTGAAGGCGCATCTTAACGAATGACATGAGTGTTGGCTGTTGGATGGGCGGTGTCAGTGGAACAACATTGGGCTTAAGTATTTTTTACTCGTTATCATTGTTCCACTATATTTCAGTTCTTCCGATAAAAATAAATATATTTTTTTATATTCATTAGAATTCAGACTCTGTTAAAACACGCACAATGACGATGCTGTACAAGCAAGACAATACACAGAATAACTTAACGAGTCACATATAAAGTTAAATATTGAGTTATGGAGTCGTCTGGTTAAATAAATAAATGATTTAATATATACCATAAAAAATTAAACAAGTGACAAATAATTATTTATTGACTATCAACATATTTTAGGTAGGGGAATGAAAGTTTTATCTAGATAGATTGACTGAATGGTGGTTTGGCACTTATGTTAACATTGACGAAGGTGTGGGTGGTAGTTTTGAATGGTGGTGGTAGGGGATGCTTGACGTCATCAGTAAAATAGTTACGGTTTGACATGAGGAAGGTATGTAGTCGAAGTGCGAGTTAATTTTTTGACGAAAGGTTGTAGTTGTTGAAGTTATTATGTCATGTAATTTGTGGAAGGATAGAGGAGACTGCATTTCACACGTTCCATATCCATTTTAAATTAAGAATGACATTTTAAAAAACCAAAATTGGCAGCATTTTGTCGGAATTCAATAAAAATAAAAATAATTTTAATTACCGGTTATCAATAATTTAAATGCCAGGCAGACGCTTTTGAACATTGGATAAGAAGTAATGAACGCTTCGAACATTCGGCATTGGCGCAGAGTGTACTAGTTTAAATATTTACATGCGCATGTAAATTGCTTACTCGGACATTTTTAGGAATGGCCGAGGCTGATGTAGTTTAAATCCTATGCTGCTTGTGAACCAGTTTTCTGATGTTTGCCCAATAATTCACCAGCAAACGTCTTGCAAATGCACTATATTTTAAACGCCTCATTTGTTTCTCCTATAACCCACCATGGCTAACAATTTTATAAAATTACTAATTTTAATAAGATTATAAAAAGACAATATTAACCCTTCATTGGAATTTTATAAAAACCCACGTTCCTGCTACATGAGGCGCATTTTGCACCCCTATTTAATTTTCTATATAAATCATTTTTAACAAATTAAAATTTTTCTAAAATACAGTTAACATAGTTTTTTAGCTGAAAAACATGTATCAAGCATTTTATCAGCAGTGAAATATCGCACGAGGTTACGGACGGTGGTTGGGAGAGACACTCCTAGACTTGGTATAAGTATGATTTTAATTCTAGTATCAATATAATGAAATGTCGAAACAAATCACATGCAAATGTTATTCAATATTTCTTCAAAATATATATTTAAATATGACAAACATTGTTCACACAGTATTTTTGAACTGTTTATAGAATATGCTGAACAAGCGGACCCTTAGCACATGTCACACAAGTTTCGTATTTTCCTGCCACGCTCGCGCGAGCACAGATGGGGTTGTCATCATTACTTTGCCTTTGTCTAGTCTTTCACGTCTTCCTTTTGCAATATCCAATTCTAAAAATTGATTTTATGATTGGTTTTCTAAGCCGAACAGAATTGTCCAAACGTTTCCTTATTAGTGAATCGACAAAACATTGTCCGAGTTTCGCGATGAATTGGCAAGATGCACAGCTTCAGATGACTTGTTCCAACCAGAGCTATTGCACATGTTATTGCACAGCATACAGCAATGACAGTCGTGTCAAGTATATTAAAAAAACATGACCATCACCCGTTTGATGATCTTCCCTTTACAAGACTGGATTGAAGCCTAATGATCTGTTACCACGCCACTTTCAGTAGAATTATGAAGAAGGATCATTTCCAGTCTATCAACAGATTTATCGTAATGCATTGTGGATTAAAGTACTAAACCTTTTTGAGTATATATAACACCAAAGTTTTGTCATAAAGTTAAATTTATTTGTTACAGGCCCAAGTTTTGTAGGCATTGTTTTCTTCGCATCACGTATATTTGTGTAATAGTATTTAGTTAATGATTTATTTAATAAAAAGTCTAACTAATGTCGAATATGTACTAAAATGCAATACCATCAAAATACGCATCATTTATTAGCGGTATTAATGATAATTGGGTAGTATGTTGATAATTTAAGTAACGTTTGTGTGGGTTGCAAAATTTTTTACAGATCTATCTAAACAATTTTCGGTTACGTGTGTGCACTTTATGTTGTTGTTCTTTTACTCCGAAGTTTCTTCAGTTCTCATTTATCGCAATTTAACTGTCTCTTTAACTTCTTTGGTCACTTATATTTGACTCATGCAGGTCACTCGTAGATGACGAACTGATCTGATTGAAACCAGCACTTAATTTAGTTAAATTGTTCTTTCATTATTTTTCTTTTCCTAATTAGAAAAAATATAATATGTAACCAGACCAGACCATATGTTTGCTGATCTTGTAAACTATTTACTCATCTACCACTGCATCTCTAAATACACACACACACTCACGCACGTACACATACACTCATATATACGCACACACGCACATATATATATATATATATATATATATATATATATATATATATATATATATATATATATAT